AGTATACAGACAAGGAGCATTGCATTTCAAGGGTGCAGTCCTTCATGAAAAGTAGATCCAAGTTCACCCTAAATGAAAAGGCTACATTTATAATATTATTAATCAAAGATATGTATAAAGATTGGGCATCACTGATAAAAAAAGAAGATTCAAGAATCTAGTAAAACAAGTTTAGCAGAATAGGTGTTGCATATATCATGCTTCATGTAATCATAGCTAGCAGATGAAGGACTTTTTGAAGGTTAAGAGGCATAATTGTTGAACACTTGACACTGACTGCTCAGCTGAACTTATTGATATTTGAATGCCTGATGGCAAACCATGTAACTAATGAATTGCATGACAAGTACATAATCAGCATACATGGTGATAGGCATTTGTTTTAGGCTAGTGATATCAAAGCATTAAGAATTTGCAGGTGGCTTTTATATGTGCATGTCCTGTGCAGGGACAAAGTTCTGCACAGCCAGCATAAACACAGAGCCATCCAGTCACACTGCTTACTGTCAGTCAGGGGCGGACTGACAACTCATGGGGCCTCCGGGCAATAGGGGATCATCATGGGGCCCCTGTGTCCTTTTCCAAACTCAAAAAAACTATGAAAAAGGTACCAGGGACATCCCATGGGGCCCCCTACTGACCCCGGGCCCTCGGGCAGTGCCCGAGTTTCTAAATGGTCAGTCCGCCCCTGCTGTCAGCAATACATTTCAATAAATAATAAAACTTTCTAGACTGCTGCCCTGCCTGCTAGTACAATCCAACTGAGTTTGCATTGGAGCTGCCCCTGTTTAGCCTGTGCGTTTTTTTGTTAGTGTAGTAGTATAAGGTTTACTTACAATGTACTTACTCTGGGTCTGTACACTTAGTAGGTAATTCATAGTGAGATAAATATGCAATACTACTGCTTACTGCACTCTGCCCATTCATAAAATGCAGCCATGGAATGCAGTTTGCGGTATCCTACAAAGTTCTCTCTGCTTTTCACAACAGAGAATTCCATAAGTGGAGCAGAGGCAGTCGTATACATTTGACAGGTTACATGGCCAGACTATCTTCTTGTTTTTTTTTTTTACTGTCTGTAGGATATCAAATAACACTTCACTGGCATTCAGTTCCATTCACATTTGCGCAGTCCATGAACGCCCGTGGAAAAAAATACGCCGGGATTGTGGTGCCATTAATTGAAAAATGTACATTTCCGCTCATGGCAAATGCTTGGTAAAAGCTCTAAGCTCAAAAAAAAGTGCAGTAGCTTTTTTGCCATGTTTGGCACTGATTCAAGTGAATGGGCTATCTATGTTTGGTGAATCCTCTTTGAAATTCAGTGTACTCAAACTTTACTGTGAATCCCATTAAAGATCACAAGAGAGGAATCTTGTTAGTAAATTCATGGCACTTTTTCAAGCTAATAGGCAAGCTACCATCAAAAAAGAGGCACAGGGAGCTTGGCACTGCCATGGGTGACAATGCAAAAAAAAAAAGACATTTAAATATCCGGGGAGGGGGGGGGTCTCTTTTTGTAGCTTCAAAGGCAGCACTGAAAATAAAAAATGCCTTTGAATAACATGGATGAACTGTACATGGTGTTATAAAACAATATGATCTTAATAGGCAGTCTCAGTGATGGGGTAAACTGGAATTTTTTTTTCTTTTACAATTAACTTGGCTTACATACAGCAGCACTCCAATCTATTTAATTGCAATTTATAAAACATTTTAGGTAGTTTTAGCAGGAACCTTCCAAGTGGTAATAGACCTGATTTGACTGGCAGATAGAAATTGGCTGTCCCTGCTCTCAATGATACAAAACTAGCCACTAGCCAATTATGATCCCAGATGGTAGAGCAGTGTAAAATTGGCCAGCAGCAGGACATTTTCAATGAGGAAGAATTGGCTAAAATGCACTAGAGAAAAGGAGCACAGGCAGGGAAATTTACTTTAGGATTTAAGACTTTTCAGATAATTCAGCAGTGAAAAATTATTCAGTAGCAGGACAGTCTGAATCACTTACAGAAGGCCTAACCAGTGTATGCCTAAATTTTGTTTTTATTATGGTGATAAGGTAAGGTTATCAAATTTTCAAAAAGAAATCTGGGGACATTCTACTGACTATGCCCACTTTAACCACTTGCCTACTGGGCACTTATACCCCCTTCCTGCCCAGGCCAATTTTCAGCTTTCACTGCTCTCACAGTTTGAATCCCAATTACTCACCCATGCAACACTATACCCATATAAAATTTTTGTCCTTTTTTTCACACAAATAGAGCTTACTTTTGGTGGTATTTAATCACCGCTGGGGTTTTTTATTTTGTGCACTATAAATGAAAAAAGAGCAAAAATTGTGAAAAAAAATGTGTTTTTCTTAGTTTCTGTTATAAAATTTATCAAATAAGTAATTTCTCTTCATAAATTGTTATCAAAATATATAGTGTACATTTCTATGGTAAAAATAACACAAATCGGTGTATATTATTTGGTCTGTGTGAAAGCTATAGAGTCTACAAGCCAGGACAGTACAAATACCCCCCCCCCCCCCCCCCCCCAAATTACCTCTTTTTGGAAAGTAGACATTCCAAAGTATTTAGTAAGAGGCATGGTGAGTTTTTTGAAGTTCTAATTTATTCCCACAATTCTTTGGAAAATTAAGATTCCCCCCCCCCACACAAAATTGTCATATTAACAAGTTATTTCTCACACACAGCACAGGCATGCTTGCAAATAAACCCCAAAATACATTCTGCTACTCCTCCTGAATAAAATAATACCAAATGTGTGAGACGTTTCCATAGTCTGACCACATAGAGAGTCCCAACATGCAAGGAGCACCATCAGGCGTTCTAGGGACATAAAATTACACATCTAATATCTTGACTACCTATTACACTTTTGAAGGCCCTGAAGCACCAGGACAATGGAATTACCCACAAAATTACCCCATTTTGAGAAGCAAACACCCAAATGTATATTTTTTGAGGCATATTGAGTCTTTTGAACATGTTGTTTATTTCCAAGAGTTTTCGAAATATGCGGGAAGAAAATGAAAACTTTTTTTTGTTTGTTTTTTACACAAAGTTGTCCATTTATAAGATATTTCTAACATATAGCATATAAATATCACAAAATATATTATGCTACTTGTCCTGAGTATGGCAATACCACATGTGTGAGACTTTTTAACAGCTTGGCCACATACAGAGGCCCGACATCCAAGTAGCACCATCAGGTGTTCTAGGGACATAAATTATACATCTAATTTCCAGACAAACTATCATTTTTGAAGACATTTTGTCAGGTACCGACTGGCAGTGACTCTAGAGATCCACAGGCCGGGGGTTCCCCCGGGCGCGGAGTCTAAGCCCCAGTCTGCTTATTCACCAGAGCCCCTGATGGTGGGGATGGACTTGAAGCAGTCTGAGACCAGGTCGCGGCCCCTGAGTACACCCAGCTGTGGTAGAGGTAAATGCCAGTGGTATGAAGAGGATCAGAGCCTGCTGTGAAGAGGTGGAGCAGATCTGGCAGCAGCGGATGGATCCGTGCAGGATAGATGGACGGATGACACCATGGAGAGATAGTGAAGTCAGGCAGGCTGGGTCGGTAAACAGTGGAGGCAAACGGTACAGAGCAGTAAGCAGAGAGTAATCGGGTCACAGGCCAGGTTCAGCAGCAGGAGTTCAGATCATCAGGAACAGGCAGAAGACGAGCCAGGGGTCAGGGCAGGAGACGGTAAACAGCAATCAGGGTCAGGCTAGGTCGGCAACAAGGCAATCTCAGGAACAGAACAAGCAGGAACAACAAGACCATACGGCAATGTGAGCATTGCAAGAGCTGGTTTAAATATCCCACCCGTCATTGGTGACAGGCACGCCTGGGTTCTAGTGCCCGTCTGCCTGTATGTCTTGTCGGGATCCTACGCATGTGCAGATTCGTGCGCTGTGGTGATCTTCTCGTTCCCTGACACCTTTCATATTTCTGTACATACCAAGAATTACACCCCAAAACACATTCTGCTGAGAAAATGGTAAGCAAAAGATTACTTGTGGTTTTAGTAGTGCAGTTGTCCACAGAGGAGAGCATTGGTCCAGGCAGCAGACAGGATTATTGTCCATAGTCAGTACAAGAAGGAGGCAGAGATATTGTCAGCACAGCCAAACTATTGGTCCAGGCAGCAGGCAGAGATGTGGTCAGCAGCAACCAAAGGAATTGTCCAGCCAGAAACATGGGCAGCACAGCCAAAATATCAGTCCTGGTAGTAAGTAGGAACATGGTCCATGGTACAGGTAGGAGGCAGAGGTATGGTCAGTTCATTCGGCAGGCAGAGGCATGTTGGCAATAAGTTGGCAGCAAGCAGAAATATCAGACTTAGTGCCTCGGTCAGGTAAGACCTGGGCACAGGGATAGAGGCTTCGTCCCACCCATCTCTTCGAAGACTCCGGACTAACAGAACCTTTTCCAAGAATTACAAACCCTGGAGAAAACCAAAAACTTTGTTTTCTCCACTCCAAAAAACTATTCTGAAGCCCTTCACATATGTGATACCCCTGTGTTATCTTGAATCCTACTATTACAGTAGCAGGGCAGAAGATCAGTCCAAGTGGCGGGCAAAAAAATGTGGTTAATTAACCACTTTCCGCCCGCCCTACAGTACAATGACGGGCGCAAGGTGGTTCTCTCGTTCTGATAGGACGTCATATGACGTCCTACCATTCTCACTGCGCATGTGCGGCTCAGGGAGTGCGCAGCGCGGCGATCACCGGTGTGCTGTGCCCCTCGGACACAGCGGATCACGGAAAGAGCCAAAGATGTCGGCTCGGTCATGTGATCAGCTGTGTCCAATCACAGCTGATCACATGTAAACACGGAAATGGCGGTTATCGGCATTTCTCTCCTCTCCAGCTGTCACGCTGACAGCTCAAGAAGAGAGCCGGTAATCGGCTTTCCGCGGAGGGGACATGTAAACAGATCATCGGGGCACTGATGATCAGTGTGCCCTGATGATCAGTGTGGCCCCAGAAGTGCCACCTGTCAGTGCTCATCAGTGCCACATGTCAGTGCTCATCAGTGCCACATGCCAGTGCCCATCAGTGCCATGTGCCAGTGCCCATCAGTGCCACATCAATGCCACATATCAGTGCATACCAGTGCACATCAATGCCACATATCAGTGCCCATCTGAGCTGCCTTTCAATGTCACCCATCAGTGCCAATCAGTGCTGCCAATCAGTGCCACCTATCAGTGCAAGTCAGTGTCACTTATCAGTGCGCATCAGTGCCGCATAACAGTGCCAGTCAGTGCCGCCTATCAGTGCCATATATCCGTGTCATGTATCAGTGTCATGTATCAGTGCTACCTTTCAGTGCCCATCAGTGATGCCTGTCAATGCCCATCAGTGCAACCTACCAGTGCCTCCTCGTCAGTGCCCATCAGTGCCACCTATCAGTGTCCATCAGTGCAGTATATCAGTGCCCATCACTGCAGCCTCATTAGCGCACATCAGTGAAGGAGAAAAATCACTTATTTACAAAATTGTATAACAAAAACTAAGAAAAAAATTTTTTTCACAATTTTCAGTGGTTTTTGGTTTAAGAAAAAATAAAAATCCCAGAGGTGATTAAATACCACCAAAAGAAAGCTCTGTCTCAAAAAAATGATAAAAAATGTAATATGGGTACAGTGTTGCATGACCGCGCAATTGTCATTCAAAGTGTGACAGCGCTGAAAGCTGGAAATTGGCCTGGGCAGGAAGGGGGTATAAGTGCCCTGTAGGCTAGTGGTTAACAAGATGGCAGGCAGAAACGTGGTTGACAGTTTAGACGGCAAGCAGAGGCATCATCAATAAACAAGCCAGGGTAAGTTCCAGAGCAGGCAGAGGTATGGTCAGTTTAGGCGGAAGGCAAAGGCATGGTCGAATAACAGGCCAGGGTCAGTTCCAGAACAGTCATAGGTATGGTCAGTTTAGGCAGCAGGCAGTGGCATTGTCAAATAGGCTAGGGTCAGTTCAAGAGCAGGCAGAGTCATGAGGAGTAAATGACAGGAAATTTAGAATTATGTTTAGAATACTTCACTAATATTGTAGAGAAGTATGGTAATGGTGGAAACGGTCACCTATGCGGAGGCCTGGTTGGGAAGGACACTCGGTACAATAAAAAACTGGTGTCTTGTCTAACTCCTCTTCTGGAGCACACCTTTTTTTTATATCTTTGGCCCTTTTCTCCGGGAGGGATTTTTTCTGGAAAATGGCATTCGTGGAGTCTGTTCACTGCATCTCAGTGAACATTTTCTGGTGGGCCTCCAGGGTACAAAAGGGCAGTGACAATTTCCTCCTGATATCGAAGAAAGGATATGGGTGTCTAGGTGGATTTCTGCTAGATCACATATGTATTATAAATGGCCAAATTTAAAAAATAAATGGAGACTTTTTTGTACCAATGATGGGTTCTTCTTACAGCAAGGTAGGGCTGGATCATCTGATCACTGAAGTCAACTCCCCCATGAACAAATTATAATAGTGGACACATTCTGGCTTTTGCCATCACTTCTGGTGATTTGCACGCGGGTGTCATTGTGAATTGATGAGAGCATGTAGATGTCTCGTTTGTTCCTTCACTTTATAGCCAATATATCTTCGTTCCACAAAACTCACCGACTCCCCTCGCTATAGTCTTGTGTTCACCAGCCTTTGCGGGAAGCCCTTCCTACTAGCTCTCACGGTGCCACTTGCTAGTGTTTTTCTTCGGTGAAGATTGCAGAAAAGGGACAAGCTGGTGTAAAAATTAACAGAGATGATAACCCTTTTCAAGGAGTGGAAATACAAGCTCCCAAATGACTTTTCCACTTGCTCCAATGAAATCTGAGCATTCAGGGAGATGCAGTACACGAGAAAGGCATACACATACCCATGGCTGTCGCATAATTTATAGAGTTTAACCCCATATCAGGCCCTTTTGCTGGGTATAAAACTGCTTGAAGCTCAGCCTGCCAGTGAAGGGGACAAGCGACTCATCCACGCAGATATTTTTGTCAACAAATAATTGGTCGAATTTCTTGGAGAAAAAATTAAGAAGTGGCCGTATTTTATATACTATTTATTATATGCTGGATCATTTTGAGTAAGGCACTGGATGTTATTGTTGTAATAGAGGAACCGCATAATCATTAGATATCTTGTTCTGGGCAAGATTGATGTGTAAATTGGCATATGATGGATTGGGTGGGTAAACTGGTAGGAGTGTAATTGATTTTTTTTTGTGAGTCCCATATTAAATGTGAGGCCCAATAAGGTTCTAAATTCCTCCACTGTCAGCTGCTTCCATTCATAGGGATGGGCATAACTTGAATCTGGGTTGGTGGCTATGAATTGTTGGGCATAGAGGTTGCACTGGTCTACAATTGAATTTAGCAAGTCATCGGTAAAAAGTTAAAGTAAAAAAAAATCAATGGGGGCAAAATTTTCTGTGTTCATCTGGACTCCTGGCTGGGCAGTAAAAGGGGGGATGCCAGCTGCTCCAGAGTTAGGGGAAAGCCATAGGGGGTTTTGAAGGGCATATGGAAGAGCAGCATGGGTCCTAACCCTTTGGGACTGAGGTGATACACCACTAGTACTTGGCCTTTCTTGAGGTTCTTCATTTCTGGTGGAAGCCACTGCTCTGCTGGTGGATGCCACTGCGCTACTTGTGGTAGCCTGCTCCTCACCAGAACGCCTTTGCTTAGTGGGCACACTTTCCTCCTCCTCCGATTCTGTAGGAGACCCACTGCTTAAAACGGGCTCACAATCTAGATCAGAATCAGACTTGGAGAGCTCCCCGCTGCTCTTGTCGGTCATCATTAGGATTTTTGTAGGCCTCCTCACAGGAAAATATTTTTTTAGACATACTGGGACATATGTGGCAGCACTGATGGGTGCTGATGAGGCTGCTCTAATGAGGCTGCACTGCTGGGTTCTGATGAGGGTGATTTGATGGGGATGCACTGATGGGTGCTGATGAGGGTGCACTGATGGGTACGGATGTAAAGTGATGAGGCTGCACTAATGGGCACTGATGAGGTTGCACTCTGATGGGTGCTAATGAGGTTCCACTGATAGGGTGGCACTGATGTGTAAGAATAAGTGGCACTGATGTACACTGATAAGCTGCAGTAATTAGGTAGCACTGATGGTAACTGGTGAGCACTGATGTGCAGTGATGAGGCAGCACTGATGGGTACTGATAAGCTGCAGTGATATGGCAGGACTGGTGGACACTGATGAGCCCTCACTAATAGGCACAGATGGGCACCGATGAGCACTGATATGCACAGATGGGCACCGATGAGCACGGATATGCACAGATTGGCACTGATGAGCACTGATATGCACTGATGGGCACCAATGAGCACTGATGGGCACTGATGAGAACAAAGGAGCACTGATGAGCATAGAGGGGCACTGATGAGCATAGATGGGAACTCGCTGGTGGGCACTGATGAGTACAGATAGGGCACTGATGAGCACAGATAGGGCACTGATGAGCACAGATAAGAACACAGTTCAGCAATGGATTCTCTCTCATTTCCTCACACTCGGTATTGGTGTGAGGAAAGGAGAGAGAAAACCCAGCCATGACCCTTCTGTGTTTACATTTGTGATTGCTTGTCATTGGACAGAGCGATCACAAATGTAAACAGACTCAGCAATTGGCCCTTCACCCACCTCTTCATGATGCGCTGTGTCCGAGGGACACAGCCATCACTTACAGTTCCCGATGTGCGCCGCTGGGGGCGCGCGAGAAGCGCGATCATGGAAGGACGTGATATGATGCCCTCCCAGAACTGGCCAGTTGCGGTGAAGCGTCATACGACTATCATCAGTTGGCAAATGGGTAAACCACACCTAGAAAATGATACCCCCATTTTTAACAACATCCATATAATTATACGTCCATTTTATTAGAATCTCAAACAATTAGATGTAAAGACAAAATAAACAGATTTCAAATGAGAGGAACCTAGGTATGCATGAATAGTTAAAGCTGATATTTAATATATAATTACTAGTTTGGACTAATTTAAGTACACATGTGCCATAACTGGACAAACCCTGTAGAAGCTGGAAATTATTGTAGTAGGCATCAACACTACTGTGATTGCTACTAGCTTTCGGGTCCTGTACCAAGCAGCTGCCTTGCAGCTCAGTGAATATAGGTGACAGCTCACTTGGCACACATTTCATTCAGAAAACACTTTGCATGTTCTCAATGAGTGCAAAGTCTCTGATTGGATGAGATGGACATTGAGCTGTCACCGCCTTGTCTCCTTACCCCATCTTATTAGAGAACGCTTTGCATTCATTGAAAGGATACAAAGTGTTCTCTGAATAGTGCCCATGCTCAGCAAAATTCCTGCAAAGAGATGAAAACAAGACAGTCCAGACACAGGATGGAGAGAGCAGAAGCCACTTGAGGCTACCCTGCAGCTGTCAGACAGGAGGTACTCTGAACCAACCTCCAGGAGACGTGCAGCGTCCAGTAAGCAGACTGCATCCTGAGCTAATGTTGGACTATTTCACTGTGCAAATGACCATTGCTGCACTATATTCTGCACATTGTGAACTAAATTGTTTTTGTTAAATAATGTGCACAGAAAGAAAGAAAAAATGTTAGCTTAAAACAAACATGACACTCTAAAACATTGTTTCCTTTTAGTGATAAAAAAAAGAAAAGGTTTTGCAAAACAAAGCATTACTGTATTGACTGTATTGAATCATATACCATCTGTCATTCTTCAAGAATTTGTAAATTAAAAAAAGAAGCTAACCCTTGGGCACAAATACTACTGCCAAGAAAATATATATTTCAGTTCTTTCCACTGCATTGATTGTTATTGATTTTTTGTAGGAATAAAACGGTCCTCTACAAAGCCATAAAAGAGTACTATCTCAGTAATTCCCCAATATATCAAAGGTTTATTTTTAATACTGTATGCTTGACAAAAAATTATATATCCAAAAGAGAAATACCAATCTCTGATCTCACGAAGTTGGAGTAAACATGTCCCAACACACCCAAGGCCCCATAAAAGCAACCATTAAAGCAAAACTACACTGCATCTGAGCAACACAAACCAAAAATGCTATTCAATTACTTTTTATTTCATTTTTATTACTCAAAGCAAAATCCCCCATCCATCCATGTCTCCATACTTGCAATTACCCCCCAAAAAAAACACATTCTGCTACTCCTTCTGAATATGGAGATACCACATATGTGAGACTTTTTCATAGCCTGGCCACACACAGAGGCCCAAGATTCAAGTAGCACCATCAGGCATTCTAGAGACAAACATTACACTTTTCATTTCCTGACTACCTATAACAATTTTTAAGGCCCTGGAGCACCAGGACAATGGAATTACCCACGAAATGACCCCATTTTGGAAAGCAAA